TATATATATAAAGGCGTTTTAAACCCTTGCCACACTCTTGAAATATTCAATGTTTCTTAACTCTAAACGCTCTAAAAGAGCACAGCTTGTCATGATTTCAGCTCCCTGCCTCCGGCTGCACTCTCGGCCATGCCCACTTCTTCGCTCTGCACGGAGATCAGCTGATCAGCTGCAGGAGGAAACTTCTCCCACAGCTGTGGGCTGCACACAGGTGCTAAATCATTTACAATAATTTATTTTCAATAAAAAAATCCATGCTGATTGTGCAGCTCATCCATCAATCAGCCAGTTATGAGTCATGTCCATTCTTACTTTGAAAAACTGCAAAAGAGCAAGTCAACAAAAAAAGAATGGTAAATGGACTGTACTTATATAGCGCCTTTCTATCTTATTTCAAGATACTCAAAGCTCTTTACACTACAATCTGTGTCCGCATTTACCCATTCATACAGCACTCTACTAGATCTTTACAAATCTAATTGAACAAATCATTTTAAAGAGACTAATCAGTGCTTTAGATCACATTCATACACTGATGGGACACACATCAGAGGCTATGAGGGGTTCAGTGTCTTGCCCAGGGACACTTTGGCATGTGACTGCTGGTGGATTCGAACCCACAACTCTCACATTGGAGGACAACTGCTCTAACCACTCAGCCACAGCCGCCCCAAAGAACAAAAAAAAGAACCGCGAAGTAGCGAGGGACTACTTTAACTTGACTGAAATTCAACATGAAAACAATTAAAACATTTTGTGCTCATGGCATTTTGTAATCTAGGTGATTGGATGTTGATTATATGGTAATTTTTGCATTGTATATAAAACTCTAAAAACACACTACTTTTCTTTTCATCCATATAAAATGCCATGATTAAAAACTAAAGAGAGTTTGATGAACTAGGTGAATATACATATCAGCATTTAATAAACATTTAATAAAAAGACTTTGTATAACATTTTATTTTGTAATAACAAGTAACAAATGATTGATAGATAATTTGGGAAAGCTTGATGGAAAATTAATTCACTAAAGTGTTGAATGAAGAAGTAAAAAGAAGTGGAACGGAAGCTCAAATCAGCAAAATAATAAAGTTAAAATGATTAAAACTGGGGCAGCATGGTGGCACAATTGGTAGAGCTGCTGCCTCTCAGTGAGCAGGTCCTTGGTTCAAACCCCGGTCCAGGGGCCTTTCTGGGTGGAGTTTGCATGTTCTCTACGTGCATGCGTGGGTTTTCTCCGGGCACTCCGGTTTCCTCCCACAGACCAAAAACATGCATGTTAGGCTGATTGGTAACTTTAAATTGTCCCTAGGTGACAGGGATGTGAATAGTGAGAGCGTGAATGGTTGTTTGTCTCGTTTGTCTCTATGTGGCCCGATGGACTTGCGACCCGTCCAGGGTGTACCCCGCCCTTCGCCCAGTGATTGCTGGACATGGGCACCGGTGACTCCCGTGACCCAAAAATGGAATAAGCGGTTAAAGATAATGGATGGATGGATGATTAAAACTGTTCTATGAAATAAAAAGAGACACACTATAGCCAAAGGCTAAATGTAGCAAAACCAAACTTTGTTAAGCTGTATCTGAAGACTAAATATAATAAGAAAAGAGCTAAAAGCTTAAAGTAGGATAAAAGGACCAAAGTAAAGACAGTACGCTGTAACTCAGAACAATAGTTTTAAAGCAAATTAAAATATCTAAATGTCTGAGGATATTTTTGTAAATAATCTTAAATAGGTCAATAGGTACACAAGTTACACAAAAATACTAAAATCACTAATCTGAACATTTTATAGATGATGGTTTAAATACCACCACCTATGTAGAACTAGCTCAGTTATCTTCTTCTGGCTGCTCCCTTCTTCAGGGGTCACCACAGCGAATTAACTTGCATGAAGACTTGGTGATTGTTTTTACACCGGATGCCCTTCCTGTATGGAGAGTCATTTTATTCTAAATTAAACAAATAAATAAATAAATAGTGTTATTTTAAAATTATTCATAAATATTCCATTAAATAAATAAATGTCCCCATGAAATAAAACATTTAAATAGAAATGTTTAGTATTTTCCAAGATTTATTTTTTATTTATTTCAAATTTTAATTTTATTTATTTCAAGATTTATTTTTATTTTTTTCAAGGTTTAATTATTTATTTATTTAATAATGGAGTTTCATTTTTTTTTATACTTTTACTTTGTAACGCTACTTTACATATTTCAGGGACTTTTATTTTTTAACCCCGTTTTTCATTTTAAGCACATTTTATTTCATGTTATTATATTCAAATGAGGGGGTGGGCTTTCTCTGTGGGGCGGGGCTTGTAAATGGCAAATGGACTGTACTTATAAAGCGCCTTTCTTTCTTATCGAGATACTCAAAGCGCTTTACAACACAATCTGTGCCTCATTTACCCATTCATACAGCACTCTACTAGATCACTTCAAAGCTAATTCAACAAATCATTCTAAAGAGACTAATCAGTGCTTTATCCTATCTATCTTTATCCTATCTTATGCTATCTAAATGTTTTCTTTGATGGGAACATTTATTTAATGGAATAATTATATATATATATATATATATATATATATATATATATATATATATATATATATAAAGTAACACTATTCATTCATTTAATTTTGAATGAAATGGCTCTCCATATTCCTGATACAACCACAGACCATCGAGCTACGACAGTCCTCTTTGTGGAGCAGAGAGCTGCCATCTAAGGCACCCGGGGGAGCAGATGGTGGGGGTTAAGGGCCTTGACCAAATGCCCAGATTGGTGCGAGGGTGGAGGTAGGTGTGGGTGCTTCACCTTTCCCACCCACATTTTGATGTTGTCAGTACAGGGAGTTGAACCGGCAACTTTCCGATCACAGGCCCACCTTCTCTAAACTTTGCACCACCACTCTCATAAAATTAGCTCAATTATGAAAAATAAATAAATAAACGTGCAATAAACTATAAACAGGGAAACCATGGGCTTGTTTGTTTCAGGTGTTATTGGACAACTTACTTGGAATACCAGACACAAGTTTGAGGGGCCGCAGTACTCTTACGGCTCTCAGCGTTCTCAGATCAAAGTCAGCCCCCACTGTGGCCAAAATCCTGCACACACAAGAACACCACTGAGTCAGGAACACGGACAGCTGCACATTTATTTTATTTTTTAAGTCAAGTCAAGTCACATTTATTTATATAGCACATTTAAAACAGTAACTGTTATCAAAGTGCTTACCAAAAAAGACCACAGTGTAGTGAGCTAGCTGTTAACTACAACAGGATCAAATATTAATAACAAGATATTACAGCAACATGAATAAAAGCATAAAAACATGAAATATAATGAGAAACAATGAAATACTAAATCAAATCACCCTGCGTTAAATGTCAGGGAGTAAAAGCAAAATGGATGAACACAATCATCAACAACAAAATACCAAATGAGATCACACTGTGTTAAATGCCAGAGAGTACAGATGTATTTTGAGGAGAGATTTCAAAGTAGAGACTGAGGTGGCCTGTCGAATGTTGATGGGCAGATTGTTCCAAAGTTTAGGGCCCATGACTGAAAACGCCCGATCTCCTCTGAGCTTCAGCCTGGTTTTAGGTATGGCCAAAAGCAGCTGGTCTGAAGATCTCAAGGCCCGAGAAGGAGTATAAGGATGAAGGAGGTCGGAGAGATATGAGGGTGCAAGGCCATTAACACACTTAAATGTCAGCAGAAGAATCTTAAAATCAATTCTGACACGCACAGGAAGCCAGTGAAGAGAGGACAGAACTGGAGTAATGTGCTCAAACCTGCGAGTTCCTGTTAGTAGCCGAGCTGCAACATTTTGGACAAGCTGAAGACGTGAGAGAGAGACCTGACTGATCCCAGCATAAAGCGAGTTACAGTAGTCCAGTCGAGTTGTAATAAATGCATGGACTAATTTTTCAAGGTCGCATCTGGACAGCACGGACTTGAGCTTAGCTATCTGCCTTAGCTGAAAGAAGCTTTTTTGAAGAACAGAATTTATCTGCTTATTAAACTTAAAGTCCGAGTCTAAAACTATCCCGAGATTGGTAACAGACTGTTTTAGATATGGCTGAAGGGAGTCCAGAGTTGCAGGATCAGTGACAGTGGCAGAGCTAGGGTTAAACACAATTACCTCAGTCATCTGATCATTAAAACTCAAAAAGTTTGCAGCCATCCAAGTCTTGATGTCATCAGGACATTTTAACAAAGGGCGAATGGAGGAGGAACTGTTAGGTGTTAACGGCAGATAAATCTGAGAGTCATCAGCATAACAATGAAAGGAAAGACCATGTTTCCTCAGGATAGACCCTAAGGGGAGGAGATACAATGAAAACAGAAGGGGTCCAAGAATGGAGCCTTGCGGGACCCCACAGGAAAGAGGCACTGAAGTAGATAGAGAGTTAGCAAAAGTAACACAGACACTCCTGTCGCTCAGGTATGAATGGAACCATTCTAAAGCCCCCAGTATACTGCTGCGTACGTCCATACGCAGAGGTACGCACGTACGTACGCAGAGATACGAGCGTACCCCTCAGGGCATGTCCGTGCAAAGCTTTAATTTTTACGACCGCATACGCGTACGTGGTGTCGCACAATAAACTGCCCAGCGACAGACTGTTTTGTATGCGACACCAATGTATTAAATTCCCCTTCTTCATCTCTGATCTGGCCTTTTCTTTTGTTTTTTTTGCCAAGAGGCGAGTGATCTCTTCCTCCTCCGTTGATGCCATGACTGAAATGGTGAGAAATGAAGGAATTTGTCACGAGCGAATTAAAATCAGGTCCAGCATGGCTGCAGGAAGGTCTGGAGATTTCCTGGTGGGCTGGTCAGATGTGTGGGCTGTAGAGCCAGCGCTCTGTTTTTTTTTTTTTTAAGATCTTTTTATTAACAACATATAAACACAGAACACCGCTGCAGCTGAGGCTGCCAGCGCTCGCTTTTTTTCTTTTTTCTGACCTGTCAATCAATCCAGTAGGCATATCAGCAAATGACCAATCGGCGACGTCAATTTGTCCCTAAGGTAAACGCTCCTTGTCTGTGAAGCTGCTCTGCAGCTGCTCGGGGTGTACGCTGGAGTACAAAGTCTGAACCCTCCGCGTACAGTACATGAGTATGTACGCGTGAACGGACGTACGCAGCAGTATACTGGGGGCTTAACGCTGCACCAGTAATCCCTACCCAGTGTTCAAGCTGGGATAAAAGGATAATGTGGTCCACAGTATCAAATGCAGCAGTAAGGTCAAGGAGTACCAGGACTACAGACTGACCAGAGTCATTTGCCAGAAGAATGTCGTTGCAGACCCTAACTAAGGGTGTTTCAGTGCTGTGTAATTTCTTAAAGCCGGACTGAAAGATCTCAAGAATAGAATTTTCACTCAAGAACTCGTTTAATTGAGTGAAAACTATTTTCTCCAGGATCTTAGAAAGAAAGGGAAGTTTGGAGATGGGTCTGAAGTTTGAGCAGGTTAAAGGGTCAAGTCCAGGTTTTTTTATTAAAGGAGTTACCACTGCATGTTTAAAAGCATCAGGAACTATACCTGTAGCCATACTGCTGTTTATAATGTCAAGAACAGAGGGTCCAATGGAGGGTAGGACTTGTTCAAAAAACTATGCAGGGATGGGGTCAGTAGGGGAACCTGAGGGTTTCATATGACCAATGATGTCATTTAGAAATGAGAGGGAAATGGGTTCAAACTGGTTAAAGACTGGTGTGGAGGGGACAAAGACAGAGGGGTTAGCTGTGGTGTGAGGAATCAGTGACCTGATCGACTCAACCTTTTTAACAAAGAAACTGGCAAAGTCGTCACACGTAACTGCAGAGGCCTCCCAGTTGGCAGACTGCGGCAGGGTTAAAATGGAGTTAATGGTGTTGAAAAGAACGCGGGGATTGTGGCTGTTTTGAGGCGATGATTTGGGAGATATATTTGTGTTTTTCTTATTTAACATTGGCCTGGTACTCTTTGAAACATGTTTTTAGCATGATAAAAGAAACGTGAAGTTTGTCCTTCTTCCATTTACGTTCGGCTTTCCTGCACTGACATTTGGCTGCGCGAGTGATCTCATTCATCCAGGGTGTGGAGTGCGCTTTGGATGCTAATTTTTTTTTAATGGTGCAACTAGGTCAAGAACCTTAGCACAGGTCTCTTGATGTACAGTGCTCATGTGCTCATGGGTATTGATGGAAGAGGATTCAGAGACTGAGAGAGAGTTTTTAGTAAAAGCCGAGGAAAAGAGCGTAACAGTGGAAGGGTTAAATATTCGACAAGGCCTGGCTGGAGGGGGTTTGGACTTGTTGACAAAATAAGTGTTGAAAGAAATGGGTTTGCGGTCGGAGAAAACCGCATCCCCAATTTCTAACTCATAAACAGATAAACCATAGGTTAACATTAAATCCAGTGTGTGGCCATGCTGGTGAGTTGGTCCTGCAACATTTTGTACAAAATTCAGAGACTGGATCAGATCTAGAAAGTCCTGAGTCAGCGGCTTTTCAGGGCAACAGACATGTATATTAAAATATCCCAGAATCAAAGCCCGATCATATCTGAGCAGAATCCAAATTTAAAAAATCTGAGAGTTCAGCCATGAAGTCCTAATTATATTTTGGTGGCCTGTAAAACACAGCAGAAAAAAACTGGATTTGAATGGCCCACTTCAAAACACAGCAGTTCGAAGCTCAAAAAATTAGCTGGTATCTGTACCAGTTTGCAGTTCCAACGTTTTTTGAAAATAGTTAATAATTCACCACCTTTGCCTGATATTCTCGGAGCATTAAAATAAGAACAGTCTGTTGGTAAAATTTCCGACAGGGCCATGAACTCACCACAGGAGAGCCACGTCTCAGTCACGCAGAGGAAGTCCAGACCGGTGGGGGAGAAAAAGTCCTTCAAGATAAATGTTTTATTAGCCAGTGACCTGGCGTTTATCAGTGCAATCCTTTTAGGAATCACAGCAGGAGAAGTTGTCCATGAAGTTAAGACCTTTAAGTCTTTAATTGTACTCTGTTCACCCCATCAAATGTTTCCACCCACATTTGGAGGAGGTCACTGTAGATAATATGAAGGCATTGTAAAAGCAATAAAGAATGTCATATTGACAACATCCCCCCCACAACCTGCTGGTAGGCCACAGGGCTAAATACTGTCATATTGACATACAGTATATATATGTGTATGTGTATATATATATATATATATATATATATATATATATATATATATATATATATATATATATATATATATATACATACAGACCCTTTCCAAAAAATTTGAATATC